CTCTATAGTGTAATTCTGTGGCACAATGGGAAGATAAAATGGCCTACCCATGAGATGAGGTGAAGCAGTCTCCTGAGGCAGCAGACCCAGACTCTGAAAAGTGTGTCAGTTTCCTTTGTCTCATCCCTCCATGTATGCCTACTACCACCCCCTGCCTCCTCCATGCCCATTGCCACCTGCCTGTAGCTGCTCACTTTCCTCTAGCCTCCTTTTACTCCCCTACTGCCTTGAACATGGGTAGGGTCTGTGGAGGAGGAAGTGGTGGTGGGTGCATGTTCTGTTTTGCCAGAAGTGGCAAAACATTCTGGTCTGGCCTTGGGAGCACAGGATGGGCAGGCCGGCCCAGTATACCTGAAGGAGCGTCTCCACCCCCATCGTTCTGCCCAGACACTGAAGTTCACTGAGGTTCAGATCCCTCACTGCGAGAAGTGAAGTTACAGGGAACCAGGCAGAGGGCCTTCTCAGTGGTGGCACCCATCCTGTGGAATCCCTTCCCATCAGAGGTCAAAGAAATAAACAACTATCTGACTCTTAGAAGACATCTGAAGGCAGCCCTGTTTAGGGAAGCTTTTAATATTTGATGAATTGTTGTATTTTAATATTTTGTTGGAAGCCGCCCAGAGTGGCTGGGGAAACCCAGCCAGATGGGCGGGGTAGAAATAAATTGGTGGTGGTGGTGTCGTCGTCATCATCATCATCATCAGGGGTGTTGAGTTTCTGGCAACTGCCCAAGAATGTTATCTGAGGGGTACATCTCTGCTTCTTAACTTACCACCCTTTCTTGAGCTGAAGCATACTGCAGAGAGACTACATAATAACTTTAGTTCAACTTCTGTTGCCTAGTTATATGTTCTGAATCCAATTCAAAATATTAGTAGTCAACTTTCAAGCCCTTCAAGGCCTGCATACCTAAAGGAGCATTTTCAAACATATGTTCCTACCCATTCTTTAAGATCTTTAAGATTTCAAGGAGAGGCTGTGCCCTGTTTTTCATCTCTTATTCAAGAAAACATTTGTGAGGTGGAGAAAGGGGCAGCTTATTCTCTAACAAGCAAGTTGAGGATTTTAATTGTTGTTAACATATGGTTTAAGGGGGGGTGAGGATGAAGGCAATAGTAAAGGCATAACATTTTAATAGACAATCATTTTGACATAGCACATAAAGCTGCAAAGACATAAGACATTGAAATGTCACCATGATCTCTTGTAGGTGGCTGAAAGCTCTGGTATATTTTTATCATTTATAATATAAAGTCATGACATAATTAACTAAACGAAATTCTGCCTCATTGTTGACCGGAAAGTTGGGATGACATACAGTATTTCTGTAACAAATTGTAAAAAACAGCAATTTGAATCTGTATAGATGATAGATTTAAATTGGTATTTTGTAATAAAAGTAGGTGTGGATACTTAACAGTTTTTTTTTCTTTTTAACTGGGTTTTATAAACAAAAATAATGTTATACAAGCAAGTATACCAAGTTTTCTCATGTCATTTGTATCGTATTTTTCCATGTATAAGAAGCCTCCATGTATAAGACGTTCCCTGTTTTTGGGGACTCCCAAAATAAGAAAACACCCCTCAGCACTACCCGTGTATAAGTCGAGCCCCAATTTCAAACCTATTTTTTGGTAAAAAGAAACCCTAGTCTTATACACAGAAAAATACGGTATATCACAAAAATAGCATAATTAATGTGGAAAAATATCTACAACTTATGTTTCACTATTAGTGGTCAATGTACAAGTTCTTGGTTCATGATTTGGTTTAAACAGTTAGGAAGTGGGGAAAGGGGGGAGGGGGAAATGGTGAGTGGGGTGGGGTTAGGTGGTTATGCTTCTATTCTTCTACTTAGTTTTGGGGGGCTGTCAGCGTTACTTATATGGGTTCAATTATTATTCACTTGTTGTATTTCCTTGGTGGTGAGAGAAGTTGGGGGTGGGTTAGGGTATGGTTGGTTGTCATTGGTTGGTTGTAGTGAGAACTGTTTTTGTGTGTGATTAGGGTGTGAGTATGTATTATTGAATCATGTTAGCCAGATTGATTCATATGCTGTCAGTGGATTCTTGTTGTTGTCTTGTTGGGCTGTGCACATGATAAAGTGGGGCCATACAGGGGTGACTTAACAGTTTTCTAAGTATGGATCAACTCATTAACCGCTCAAGAATCCCAATAAGCAGGGGTGTTCAAGGGGGGCAGAGGGGGCGATCCACCCCGGGCACCACTCGGGGGGGTGACAAGATGGCCTGCTGCCTCCCCCCAGCTGTAGAGCGGCCACAGGCACACACGTAGTTAGTATGGGTGCCGCTCATGTGGCTGCCGCTCACATACGCCGTCCATGCAAGCATCCGTACGGGCTGCCTCTCACACGGCAACCATACAGGCTGCCGTGCATGCGCAGTCCATATGGACACGTGTGCCACCAGGCGGTTCGCCCCGCCCCTCAGGGTCCCTCCCCGGGTGCCAGAGAGGGTTCCTCCGCCACTGCCGATAAGGCCCATTTAGGCAGAGTATTCACCTTGGCCTCTTCCTTACGTCCTTTGGAAACCCACCACATTCCACATCCGTTTAGTGCATTGTTTGTGCTCCGTAGCCCTCCATGGTTCCATACCACTGCTGGTTGTCAACTGATCTCACATTCCATTGTAACAGGACCACACATCCATCTCATTTGCTTTTTGGATCTTACCTCATGTTGCCTCAATTTGGACACCCATCCCACATCATCAAGCCATAAAACTGATAATGCCCCTTTCTGTCACTGTTTCTGGTGGAAACTAGGGGAAAACGTGTTCTGCTTCTGCTTCTTTTATCCCAGTATTTCCATAGGACTGTTTGATTACTGCTGAGCTCTGACTAAACATTGTTGCTAGCAGTGCATTTCAGTGATGCACCTTCTTTCTGTCTTGCCTTACTATCAACACTATACAGTATGAAGCCTTGTCTTTCCCAGAGCAGCTGTGATGGATGCCTCATCTGCTTCTGAACCTTCCCTTCCTGAGGCTCTGATGGGGCATGAAAGTGAGGCACAGGGGAGGGAAAGAGAGACAAAATAAGTTCTGTGCTCCAGTTCATCTTTCGCTCCCTTGCTAAAGCTGAAATCTGAGCCCCACTTACACGGAAAAAGGCTCCACTGAATTTAATAGATATATGCTTGTCCACAAGCTATTTTGTGGACAAAATACATAAGTAGACACATGCTTGTCCACAAGGTATTTGGGTAGTGGTGGGGGCTGTGGGTGACTCTGCCCTACTCTGCTGTAAGTCTGCTTGCCCAGGGGAACCATTGGGGATGAGAGAGAGAGAGAGAGAGAGAGAGAGAGAGAGAGAGAGAGAGAGATGTGGATGAGCATGCTTAGTGAATGCATAGTTTCAGGGACACTGGAAGTGAAGCTTGTAAGTGTGCTCTCACTCCTCTACATAATTTTAATTGTAAACACCTGAACATGGATAAAATGGTAGCTTTCTTATGGAGCGAGGTCTACCGCTATTCAAAATTGTTTAAGTCATAGCTATAAGCTGAGCTGTAAGGACAAAGTTGCAATAAGGCAGATACACTCATTGTATGGTTTGAAGCAATCTTTTATTATTTCATATATTCATGGGCAGAAACCCATGCATATCTTTGAATCTTTGTACCATCTTTGTACCATTTGTTTCAAAAGACATATAATGACATCAAAGAAAGTATTGTGGATAATTAACAATAAAATTGTGAGAATAAGCTATCAATACATTTCTATTTCATACTTAAAGAAATAACCTGATTCCTGGGGACACTATGAATCCTTGATTCAAGAGGCATTGTACAAGTTCTGTGCCAGAATCCCAGGAGAAACAATATGACATCACATGGAAAGTGAGTGAAATTGTAATGAAAGGAAATAGTTGGAGGCATGTGGTCATCCTTGTCAGATACAGCAACATGGCCAGCAGCTGTATGAAAGAGTCAATTTAAAGAATCGCTTCAGGGAACCTTGCCAGGAGCTTAAGCCTGCATTTGAAGATTCTGCCTGCACTGAGATCAAAGAAGAGGAAAACACCAACAAAACACTATGAGGTAAAACATTGTTTACAAAGTGTGCTTACTGTGTGGAGAAGGGATGTAAGGAGCACAGGGAATATTAACTTGCTAATGTACCACACAATTTGCATGCTTTCTATTTATAATGCAAGTGATCCAAATTTAGGGGGAGAAATTGGAATCGGATCACATTGAAAGGTGTGTCTACCTAATCTGCATTTTCTGAAACAATACACAACCCAAAACAGAGCCATTCTTAGGAATTCACACTTCTCAAAATATTGCGGTGCCATTCTTCAGCCTGGTAATGTGTAAAAATATGTTTTTACTAGGGTTAAATGTACATACAAATGCATGCATTAGTGAAAATAACATACAAACATGCATTATATTAGGACAAATTTATTTGCAAAAAAATGTGTATATTAGGAGACACTCATATGCATTAGGAGAACTTTAAAATGCTAGCTCAGAGCCAGCCCAATACATTTTCCCACTTCAGGCACAACAGAAAATGCCACTGCCTCTGCACCCACCAACTTCCTCCTTTGTCTCTGGCTCTGTCCACAACTAGCATGTGGCTTTCAGAGAGTTAGCCATAGTGCCGAAAAAGATTCCCCTCCCCTGCTCTGTTAAGTATAATTGGTTTAATTCACACTGAAACAGAAATGCCTGTGTGTTGTTGAAAAGGGTTTAACGCGGAGATCCCATAAAAGCTTTAGGAAAGCAAGAAGAGCTCTCTCTGAGATTTTTGCAGGTTGATAATTAACTGTTGATTGTTCTCTACTCTAAACTGAATATAACCTTTGATCGATGTGATGAAGGTATTGAATTGCAATTTCTCCATTTTGAAATTGAATTGCCTTTGTAAGAAAAACACGGAAGCCTAATTTGAATAGTAGAGTGCTTGGTATCTGGTGGGCGGGGCTTGTGTCTTCTGCTCCGGAATGAGCCCCTCCCTTCAGTGTGTGTCCCATTATGTTCAGTTAAGAATGGCAGTTAAGAGGGACCAACTGCCTCTTCATGTTTCTTGCCTTAGGCTTGCCTCATGATGTTGTTTTAGTTTCTCTCAGACATTGTGTTATATGTTTTCTCTCAGTTTATTATTAAAGCTTATTTCCATTTACGTGAGCCACTTATTTTTCTCAAAGAAAAAGAAACTGCTGGAGAATGGTGGAATATCCTAAACTTGGGTGAGTGAGGGGATATTCCCAGTTTGCTAGGAGGACTGATTTTGTTCATCATCCCCCACCTCCACATCAGAATTGAGTTCTTTGTTCCCAAGATCCATGGGAGGAGGGTGTAGATGAAACACTTCAGGAAAACAGCTCCAGGCTAATGGAAGCTTGAATGGGGTGAGACAGAGTTATGATTTCAATCCTGTTTAAAGTTATTTCTAAGAAGATGCTGAGCCTGTGCTGGGCAGCACAAGACATTGCATGGATATTTTGGATGTATCTTTGATGCTTTTGTTATGTTTTTGAAGAAAGTTCTACAAGTAAAGTTCTGATTTAAACTTATAGGCCTTGACAATGTTTCCATTCCAAAAGGAACAGTTTTCATGCATTCAGTCAATTCAAACTGCACAATATTAATATCTGCAATATGCTCTAGGAAATGTCACTCCACAACCTGTGGGCCACTACAGAGAAGACTCTCCCTCCCATTGTCACCAACAGAATCTGTGCTTGCTGCAGGTCAGCTAGGAGGGTCTAATAATATTCCAGAAGGACATGAAGGTATACTATCAAAACACCAAATAAAAAGTAGTTTACCCAGTAACAAATAAATATGTTTTGTATTCAGCAGAATCTGTTGAATACATTATGAAAATAAGCCATAGAAATTAAAATTGATTATTACAGATCTGTTACTAGATTCTTCAACATAAAAGGAACTGGGGGAAAACATGTCACGTTCACATATTATTCTATACATTTTGCATGCTGGATAAGCTGTTAAAATGTTTTCCACCCCCAGAATATTTTGTTCTCATTTAGACCTATTTATATTTCAGTTCTGCATATATAAGAGGAATTTCTATAAACTACATACAGCAACAAAGACATTTGTCTTCTAATCCATGCCAAAGAAGAGTGCTGCTCATATATCATGTGCAAACAGTTAAGCTTTCATCAATGGAACAACAGTAGCTTCAGTCATATGAGCCAAAACATCAAAATGATATCCAGATCTTACTCAACAAATCTGGCATTCATTGAATTGCTATGTATACATTTGAGGTGGGATTCGCCATATCATTGTCATTCCCTCTATTAAGGATGTTCAGAGACTACTGTGGATTCTTATGTAACCAAAACAGAACCACTCAGTACCACCAGAGAGTACCACCAGATACCAGGGAACCCTAACTTTTGTAGAAATATAACATATCTTTTTTTAAAAAAACAAAACCAATGTGGCACAAAAACAACAGTCTAGTGACCATGCTCAGCACCCACAGAATGTTGAACTTCTGTTGAAAATGAAAAAAGAAAAGAAAATGGGTGTGGAGACCAGAATGCCCCCTTAATTATAGCGTATAGCTGGCTGAAACATAAACAGTAGTAGTCCTGTCAGAAGATGGATACACTGCAAAACTATGTTACAAGCTCCACTTATATGTGTACTAAAACCAACGTATGAAATGAATGCAGGAAATAGTTAATCACTTATCTTTTTTTCCAGGAATAAGAAACAACTTGATACCACCTCAATTTCTCATCTCAAATAAACATGGTTTCTATGAATAACTTCTGGACTTCTGTCTAGAAAGATATGAAAGAATAAGCACTTACTAAGGAGTGTCACCAGAGTATGCTTCCATCATGTTCAGAGTAGGGGCATGAATTGTGACCACAGACTGACAAATCTGTCATTACACATCATCAAGCTTGAACAAGTTACATCTAATTATGACAAGACTGACCCTATCACTGCTGCCACGCTTGCTTGGGACACATTGTCTGAAATCTACCTTCCCATGCTCAGGGAATAAGCCATTTTTTTTAATATGCTGCTATGGGCCAGTACTGATACTAATGATCCTTCTTATTCTGTGATACTACCTGCTGTTAGTCTGGTAAAACTGGCCCAGTAACTACCAAAATGACCAGGAGCACAGCAGGCAGAAGGTACCCTGGAGGGTATAACAGAGATGAGGCCAGAAAAAGAAGATTTTATCGATAAAGTAAGACAGAAGCTATTTTCTAGGTAAAGTACCGTAAAACCTAACATTACTGAAGGCTGCATAGGTGGAAATGGAGTGAGAAGTGAGTTGATGGCGAGTCCAAGGCAGCTTCAAAGTTAAGTATGGAGGTGAAAGGTTTTTTTTAGTGGAATTATACATGGGATATAACCGTTCCAACGTGATCAAGCGTTTGTTGCATCAGGCCTCTGTATGCAGGCCTCACTAGCTTGTATGAAACGCCCACTTATGTCTGAGGGGCTTACAGTAGAACAGGCCCTATTCTCCCAATCAAATTCTGGACCCAATCTAACACTAGTTCTTTTTTATGTTATCTGGGGCTGGAGCTGATAGTTTTTCATGGCACGTATCTGAGAAAGACCTGTACATCACAACCCAATGTATGCTATCCACCACTGCAGACACGAGAATTCACGAAAAGAGCCTCTCATCAACATGCTGAAATTTATGCTGCCACCAATGAGAAACCAGCCACCCCTTCTCAAAGATTTTCCCTGTCTCCAGAGCAAAGACGGGGAGATTAGCTGCCTGAAGCTCATTCTCTATTCAACTGATGAGATTTTGTGGAGAAGATCAATTCTTTGCTCGCTGTGTTTTTCAGTTGTTACCATAGCAGTGAAACTGGAGTAATGAGACCTGGTGTGCTGGCAACTAAAGATGAAGCAAAACACGCCATTCTCCTTTCTCTTCCTTTATACCTCTTTATGCTCACATTAGGGGATTTCCCCTTCTCCCCTTCTCCCCTACCCCCCATTTCTTTCCTTTAGAACCCGTAAGTCAGTATTCTCTATAAAACATTCACATATAAGAAGGTGCATTTTCAGAGATTCAGAATTCAAGGGTATTGCTAGCAGGACCACACTTAGAAAATTTGTCACATCAGGAAATATATTAAAAATGGTGTCTAAAACCACCACCGTTTCTGAATTTCAGAGTGGGTGGGTTGCGACCTCTCTTTCCTCCAACCTATCTGGTTCTGCAAGCAACTTTGCATTTTCCTATTCTGACAATTGTGGCAGCTGCCACCAACTGCAATCCCTGCATAGTTATCCTGCGTACTTATTCTACATAGTTATTCAGCATTTTCCCATGCATCTTAGCCCTGGATCTCGTCAGGCTGCAGTTTTTCAGCCACCCATGCTTCACCTCTCATCTCAATGTATCATTGATCAACTATTTCATCCCTCATATAGCTGCTCCTAAACTTTGACTGCTGCCAAGTCCAGTGCTGCTTGAGATGAAGGGCTAAGGTGCATGGAAGGGCTAAGGTACATTGGGCAAGGGCATACAACCTTACTTCTTCTACTCAAACACCCCAAAGCTTTTGATGCCATCAACCATGATATCCTTCTGGATTCAGGGTGGGTGGCAGGGACACTGTTTCACACTGGTTCCTCCTGCCTCCAGGGACTTTTCCAGAAAGTAGCACTGATATCATTCTCTTTAGTCCCTGGATTTTTACGGTAGTTATGGGGTGCCACAGAGCACCATTTTGCCCTCAATTCTATTTAATATCAACATTAAACAGTTGGGGATGTTTTGGGGGGGCTTTGGAGAAAAGTGTAATCCGTGTGGTAATGACATACAGCTCAGTTTCTCTGTAACCTTTCACAATCAGGAGTAGTTGTATAGAATAATAATAATACTGCTGTATAAGATTGCAACCTTAGTGTAAATAATTTCCTCAATTGTTCCCAGTGTCTTACATTCCTCTTGTCCTTTCTAATATTGTATTTATAATTATTGCATCTGAAATGTAAGGAATTGCCTAAACCCCTTTAGCTGATTACAAGTAGCTTCCATGGCATTAATGGATTAGATGTATTACTATAATTGTTGGTGCTCATTTTCCTTATTGGCTTCTCTCAGTGGTAGCAGAGGAGAACTATTTTTATGCTCTCAGCTTGAGCTATTTATATAGTGCATGACAATAAGTGATCCACTCTGTATTGAAGCTGTTTTGCAGCTTCCAAAGACAAGCAATAATGCTCTTACTATAATAATTTATGCATTGTATCTCAGCAGCAATTGTAATATATCAGGGGCTCTCTGTGTATAGGCTTCATCTGAGAGGCAGGGAAAGCCAACAGGCTCAGAAAAGTAGTTCACATACGCAAACACATGAGAAACAAATGTTGAGGGAATCATTACTGTATTATAATGTGTTCAGCAAATCATTAAAAAGTATGTCACATCCAATGAAGTGGCATTTTTACACAAAACTAACTATAAATCCAATGAACCAAACCATGACTTTGTAATGTTAATGCCTGAGTATAATGCTTTCGTGGAGAGGAGGCTGCAGCCAGTTAGCTCTGGGCTTGCTGCACTGCTGTGAGATAAGCCACAATTTGGCTTGGCATATTATCCAGCCCAGTGGCTTTTATCTCTCCAAATGATATCCAGTTAAATTGTACTCAGACTAGACCCATTGAAATCCATGGACTTAAGTCCTTTACATTCTTTCATTTCATTAGGTATACTCTGGGTATGTTTTAACATTGGCGACCACCTTATATTTCTAACTAATTGGCACAAAGTATTCTTTAAAAATCAATTTGTCTTAATAAGCGTTCTTTGAAGGTCAAATATAGTGTTTCTATGGGGGTCAATATTTTCTTTAAAATTAAAAAATGTGAAACTAAAATATGGTTGTCAAAATGTGCCATATGATATTCTTTAGAAATCAGTGTGATTACAACCTTTAATATTCACTAAAGCTTAAACAAGCTCAAATTAAGCCCCTTATTTGTAATGGGTAAAGCTCAAGGTCTGAGCACTTTAATGTCATATAAATCTTGTGTTGAACAATTTATTTGTCATTTATGCATTATGTTTATTAATTACTTCCTATAAAACATTGCAAAGTAATCTAACAATAAAAACTTCAACAATAAATATATACAAAGGATTTCAAATCCAGTATAGACTAGGATAAAATTCTTTACTTCCAAGGAAGATCTTCAATAGGTGCTGAAAAGATAAAAGCAACCATGCCTGTCTGATATGCCAGAAGAGCAAGTTGCAAAGCGTGCAGCCTGCTGTGTTAAAGGTTTGATTCCTACATCGTACAGAGGGGTCACTTGTTACATTTGTGTAACTGGGGCTCCATCCTTACTATACTTTTAAAGCAGTGTCACCCCACTTTAAATTGCCATGGCTTTCCCAAAAGCATCCTGGGAAATTTAGTTTGTTAAAGGCACTGAAAGTTGTGATGGGACTCATAGTCCTCTTCCAGCAATACAATTCCCTGGGAAGAGGGACTGACTGTTAAAGCTCACTGGGAATTGTAGCCCTGGGAAATGAATAAGTGTAAGGCGCTGAGATTCTCCATCCTGTTTCTATTGGCTTTCCATCCTTCCCCTCCTTATCAAGCATATGCTATAGAAAGCAGAAAAGAATCAAACAAATGATAAGAGGGGTAGGAAGGAAGGAAGCAACTGTGTTCTTCTGCCTGCCACATATCTTTTAATGAACGAGACAGGATCTCCATATTGCATTCATCAATATAGAAGGGGAAGCACCTGGAAGGGGAAGATGTGTTCACTGATACCTGTGACTCATGGTCAAAAGTCTGGAGGTAGGCAAGCAAACATTTCCCAGTTACATGTACTCTCCTGGGCAGTGGGAGGTTCTGGTGGTAGTGCTACCACCAGCACAAGAGACTGTGAAATTTGTGATGTTTGCATATTTACACATCCATAAGTAGAACAAGAAGGAGATAAGTAGACTCCTTCAGCAAAATTGCTTATTGTACATTAGAGATCTCAGAGCAGTGGCACCCAATGATTCTTCACCCTCAGCCAACTCATAGTTATCTCTCACATGGTCTGTCTACATTTCAAATGCTAACTGGCTCCTTCATTCCCACCTACCAGCTGGAAAGTGTCATACTGCTGGGTATTCCATTACAAAAGCTGTAGGAAGTTCTGCAGCTCTAAGAGAAACATCTGTCATTAGTTGAGTGAGCATCAGCTGAAATTACTAGAGAAACAAGGAGATGCCCTAAAGTGAGTTGGATTATTTCCTGGAGACAAAAACACAGTCTACACCAGAGTTAACCAGTGTGAGGCCCTCCAGATGTTGCTCAATCTCCATTATAATTGACCATGCTATCTGGGGCTGATCAGAATTAGAGGCCAACAGGTAGTGATTTTCTAGGGTTTAGACAGGGGTTTTTTCAAATGTGGGTGGGTTATACTTATGCATCTAAAGCATGTTTATTTTATTTTTTTTATATTTACTTATTTATTATTACATTTATATCCCATCTTTTCTCCAAAGACGTCAAGGTGACATACACAATTCTATCCCCACTTCCATCTTTATCTTCACAACAACCATGTGAGGTAGGTTAGGCTGATAAAAAGTGATTTCTCCAAGGTCTCCCAGTGAGCTTCATGGCCAAGTGGTGATTCAAGCCCTGGTCTCCCAGGTCCTAGTCCAACACTCCACCCACTACCTCACACTTGCTCTACCGTAGCCCTTACCCCAAGCTACCCACTGCCCTAGCACCTGAAACAATACGATCCATGCCATAAATTTATTGGTTCTTCTTAAGTGATGCCTTTTGGATTGAAAGGCAGCATTTTTGTTTATTTTTTGTTACATTCTCATTGAGTGTTCCCAGCAAGTGGCAATCAAGGTGGCTTAATTACTTGGATATTGACTATTTTAAATAAAGTAAAACAAATGTCCAATACAGTCAGAGAGGTCCTTCCGCCTTAAGACAGTCTCACAGATAAACTGAGCAGCAGAGTTTTATCTGTTGCTACTGCCAATGCATTTTAATGTGTCAGCTGATGACATCTCTGAATCCGTCTATCATCACACAGTAAAATAATACAGTAAGCCAGACTAAGGCAATTCTTCTTAACCCAAACTAAGGAAAGTAACAAAATTCATCAGGAGACACACACATACACACACACACGGGAATACTCTTTTGCCTTTTCAAAGAATGTAAAGAGACAAGGTATCTTTCTTTTCAAACAAAGTTCTCCATTATAGTGCACTTTAATTTGATTAGACCATGAAGTATCATGTGTTTCCTAAGGGAGAGTAAGAAGCACAGAATGTTTATCTGGGAGTATGTCAAAGTTCACCTCTCTAGCTGGCTATTTTGATGCACTGACTTCATTAATTTTCAGAGAGTGAGAGGCTGCTGCCTTTCCCCTGACGTTCATCATTGTGAAGGAAGTATTGCCAAGTATTTGGGCTGTAATGCTCCTGGTCTGTCAGTGGGTGCTTCTATAATGTTGCTTGCCTCTGCATTCATTTCAGCTATTGTCAAATCACATTAAGGATGGGGAAGAATTTAAATTCAATTACATTTAAAGAGGAATCTACTTAAATCACACTTCCCAAAACAATGCATACATGGAAACCAAGCTGTCCTTTGAAATTTGCACTTCTCTGTTTTTCTCAGTGCAGTTCTCTGGCCACGTTATGTGTACATAAATGTCTATAGTTGGATAACATGTGCATAAAAATGCATACGTTATTGAAATAACATACAAAAAATGCACTGTATTACAGAAATTTGCTTTGCAAAAATTGCGTATAAATGGCAATATTCCATTCAAAAATGTGTTTGCTAAGACAAATTCACACTAAAATACTGGTGCATTTTCATGAGGATTCTTTAAAAATTAAGAAGCACAAGCTGATGTGGAAATGTGAAGAACTGAACTTAAAACTGGAGAAATGAGAAATGAAGAGAAATTGAAACGGATGGATTCACCTATTCCTAGCTCAAGGGAAAAGATAAACAGAGAACCTTTGAGGAAATTAAACAATACAACAGAAAACCCATTCCCTCAGGCATTATCCATGACAAGGTAGCAAAACCTCTCCAGTTCCAGGACACCAGATTAGGAATTGGCCCCAGACATTTTTGATGCCTGAAGCAAGGGGACAAGATGGTAGTCTCCCTTCACTGTACAAAAACTGATCAAGCTAGCATCTGGATCTTATTTCGACATGTGATTGGGCAGCCTCCTCCGCAACACCTGAGGGCAACAGTCTAGTTTACAGGGCAGGTTATGTGACACACATCTCCATCCTTCACCGCTTTGGCACCAGTCCTTGCACACATGAGCAATTGACTTAAAGCTAAAGCAGAACAGCCAAGGAACAGGACTATCAGTGTGGCAATGTGTCATTTCCAGTACAAAAGATTAAATACTTACATGGGATGCTTAAACAAATCCACATGTCCTGAATCATTTAAGCTCTCCTGTATGCTTAACACTTCAATAACTTGAGACAATGGTACAAAGGAAAAGGATGATAGCAGGAGCTTTTTACACCAATCCTCTGGCAGAAACATAGTCCAAAATGTGTCACAGTGATGAGATGGTTCTAAGGAGCTCATGACACTTTCAACTCCTATGATAGATGCTGCCAGCTGCCACCATTTGCTAAGCAAGGAGGGACTGGAATCCCTGCATTTAGCTGAAAGTGTTGGGCGGAAGGTGTACCTCATTCAGCAATGGGAACCATGGCAGTTTCTAGCTAGATTGGTGCCCCTTTTCATGGGGAAAGTTGTTGATTTGGTGTGGGCATCTATGAAACCAACAACTGCATGCTTGCATAAAGCTGCTGTGGTACATAGGAAGTTGCTAGAGTAAGACAGATCATTGGTTCATCTAGCTCAGTTTTGTTGGAACTGACTGGAAGCAGCACTTCAGGAATTTAGGCAGGAATCTCCCCTACTCCTACATGGAGAAGCCAGGAATTGTACCTGGAACCTTCTACCACAGAACTACACTCCTGTATGATGTGCTCTGTTAAACTGCTTTTCTTCAGATGCTTACAGGTAAGGATGGACACTTCCCTCAGCCTTGCTTTCCCCTTCACCATTGTTTCTGTCTGGTAAACTGTATCGCTGGCCAATGAAGATTGTTCCTTTAAATTAGCACTGTGCTGAAAAATTACCTTGCCTCCCACAACCATACTCCACCAATTAATAAGAAGAGAAATTGCATTCAAAACTTATCAAAGATGATAGGAGATCTTTGAAGAATTTTTCATTAGTGGGGTGCAGGTTTTTCATTGCACTTGCTTTACCCTTGAGGTGGTAAAGGGTTATTTTATTTATTCATTCATCCTACAGATCGTCTCAGTACTGGTCTATCCTCTGGAGTGCCACCACTTCAGTCAAAGCCCAGCAGAAGACATTCCCAGGAAGCTTTCTCAGATCAGGAGCATGGGCAGCCAAGGGGGCTGCAGAGTGTTTACTGGAAAGAAAATACAGTGGTACCTCTGGTTAGGTACCGTATTTTTCGCCCCATAGGGCGCACCGGCCCATAGGGCGCACCTAGTTTGGGGGGGGGGAATAAAGAAAAAAAAATTTCCCCCCAGGCGCGGGGCTGGGGCGGGGGAAGCCCAAGCTTTCCCCGACCCCAGCCCCCAGAACAGGCTGCTATCCGCAAGCCTTGGGAGCCTGGCGGGATCTCCCCAGGCTTGCGGATATCTGCCCGAAGCCCGGGGCGCGCTGCTCAGCGCGCCCCAGACTTCGGGCAGCAGGCTGCTATCCGCAAGCCTATGGAGCCCTGCGGGAACTCCCACGGGCTCCCCAGGCTTGTGGATAGCTTCCTGAAGCCTGGAGAGCGAGAGGGGTTGGTGCGCACCGACCCCTCTCGCTCTCCAGGCTTCAGCAAAAGCCTGCATTCACCCCATAGGACGCACACACATTTCCCCTTCATTTTTGGAGGGGAAAAAGTGCGTCCTATAGGGTGAAAAATACGGTACTTAATTCGTTCCGGAGGTCCGTTCTTAACCTGAAACTGTTCTTAACCTGAAGACCACTTTAGCTAATGGGGCCTCCTGCTGCTGCCGCGCCACCGGAGCATGATTTCTGTTCTCATCCCGAAGTAAAGTTCTTAACCTGAGGTAATATTTCTGGGTTAGCGGAGTCTGTAACCTGAAGCATATGCAACCTGAAGCGTATGTAACCCAAGGTACCACTGTACATAAATCACACTTGGCCACCTTGCAAGACTAAACTAATCTCAAAACCCTGTACCCTACCAAAATTCTTAAGTTTTCTGAGAATGGGGCAGGAAAATGGAAACCTCTTTCACAAGGAAAAATAAATTGGAGAACAGATTTTGGCACAGCAGTGATTTTATTATTCATGTGAATGTAGAGAATGCAAAACTCCATCCACCCAGTTTTCTTATTTCAAATTAGCAGAAGGTTTGATACCCCTACTGCAATCATTTTTCCCCCGGGTTGCTGAAGATGCAATTCCTCATTTAGATAGCTAACAGCATGTTTATCATATAAAAAGAAATTGAACATGAAATGACTTTTTGTTCCAATATGCCATATCATGTGCTTTGAATATTTCAGTCTTGTTGTTTTATCCAAAGCCAGAAGTATGCTAACCAGGATTTATGGTTCTGCTTTAAAATGTCATTTATTTATGAACTTTACATAAGTGTGACCTCCGCTATAGCAGGAACACTGCTAACAGGGTGGGTTCTTCTTCTTCAAAGCCTCTTTCCACTCCTTCCCCCAACAGCCTGTAATGAATAACATGGAGCTACTTCCTCTGTGGGTGGATGTGACTGAGAGAAAAAGGTGATTTGATTGATTGCCATAGATGGCTTTCTTAAAGAGTTCAAGACAGTCGTGGCATTTTTCACATTCTTCCAAAGATGCAACGGTTCGGGGGATGCCAGGCCCTTTGTATTGGGGGCTTGCTTTGTTCTAGATTATTGAAAGGAACAGCTCTGTCTTCATTGGAGAGGGCTGTAGCTCAGTAGTAGAGCATCTACTTTGCATGCAGGAAGTCCCAGGTCCAACTGCTGGCATGTCCAGGTAGAACTGGGAAAAGAACCCATTTGAACTCCTGAAGAGCCTACACAGTCAGTGTAGACAATGCTGAGCTAGGTAGACCAATTGTCTGACTCATTCTACAAGGTGTATTTCTGTGCCCCACACCATTCTCCAGACCACTGTGGCTAACTGTTAGTTATTTTAATTTGCAGAACAGGTATGCTGACTACATATTCTCTGCAGCAATCACTTTATGTGAAAGGCAGACTACGGCTTTTGTTCTTCTCACCACACGAATAATCAAATAGCTTTCCGAAGCTATATAGCATCACTGGAAAAGCTCAGAACTCCTTTGATAATAATAGCTTGAAGTGGTCTTGGTTAAATTAAGCCTCCTACACAAGGCTTAATGTGTCTTTGTAAGATGAGGAGAGGTGTTAAATTCAAAATATTTATGAGCTGGTTATCTTACAACAAGCCCACATAGTGCCTTGATTTTAACACCTTCTTTTGCGGCTTGTTTGTCAGATATGGCAATTTGCAATACATAGTTCAAGCATCTATTTACAGATTAAATCCTATCCTGGCAACACAGGATCTTACAGTGCAACTCAATATGTGCTGTCCACTTAGAAGTAAGCCCACTGAGTTCAATAGGACTTACTTCCAGGTATGTGAACATAGGAGAGCAGTTTTATTCTGTCCCTATCCCTGAAGAGTTTGCAATTTGTTTTCAGCAATAATAGAAATCCTGTTTGGATGTGTAACCTTGTTCATTTTAGCTTTTATCCATTCCGTTTTGTACTGTGAGAAATTTGGCAAAACATCAACCAGCCTGAAAACCCAGGGGCCACCTAGTAATATCATGATCATGACCTAGTACATTGGCTTCAGTGAAACAACATCAGTGTTGTAGTCACAATTTAATTACCCCTGGGTTATGTAACCAATGTCCAGTTGTATTTCTTATATACTTTGAGATTGTGCACTAAAAGCATTGTGCATTTGTTGCACACAAATAAAATGTGTGTTTCTTTGTCACTGAAAGCAACATAACTGTAATGTGATCTGTTTCCAAGTGTTACTTAAAATAACCAGCAGCTTGCATTTAGATATGTGCCTGTATTAAAGACGCATAGATCATTAGTCTATTTCCAGATCGTGTCAATTTCACATGCATGCATTCTGTCCTGTTACTGGATTTATGTGTGTTTTCTTTAAATCCACAGAAATATTTCTGTTTAGCTATGCTACATATGTAGTATGCATTTCTAAAAGCACTTTAACAAAATGCATTAAAAATATGCATTTTGGAATAATGGGGTTTATTGAGCTGAGAAATGAATCACAATATTCAGATAAGTGTGAAATTCAAAATAAAAATATGTTCCAATCTATGAATTAGTTTGTCAGAAGTAGATCGGTTGTTCACAGAAACTAAATTCCTCAAGCATCATGCATGCAAAAACAAAAAACTCTATGATGTTTGATATTCAATTCAGTTTCCTTTATTGGCATAGAAAGAGTGTGACATATGCATGGTTCAGATGTTTGCTATGTTAGTTAAACACATGTGCAAAGTTACCCAAAAAGACATCTGTATTCAGGTACAGCTTTGTGTGTTTACTTAATCTCTACTATAATTTATCCTCTCTGGGGTGACCATTGTCACAGTCTCTTTCTGATTCTATGCTTATATAATGGCTTTTAAAGAGGTTCCTTGTTTTTCTGTGAGCTATCCAGGTATAAGAAGACTGAAACAAAGGTGTACATTCATTATCTTTTCTTCACAATGGAAAGAATAACTTTCAGTTGCTAGGAGATCAGGCAAATGATGAGCCCTTGGTTAAGAGACTATGCACAAAAGTGCCTCAGCTTTTATTCCTTTACCAGTGCTGCTTGAGCAGTGAGGAGGTACAAAATGGAAAGGTATATTCATTATATCTTTTGGCCTCTTCACTGGTGATTTAATAGCATTATTTGATGAGTCTAGAGAAGAAGAAACATCTCCCCTCATGCTCACCCCATGTCTGGCTTTAGGTCCAACACAGACACAGCCTCTGTTGTAATGTTGCTCTGCCATCCTGGGTTGCCAGACAATTGCTTGCACTATCTGGGAGTTCAGTGGAAAATCAGGACTCCTGTAGCTCATAGGAAAGAAGTACTATTTTTTGCTTATTGAGAATCACATACCCTCCAAGTCTCTCAATATTCCAGGGAAAAGCCAACCTGGCTTTTGATTCGATCCTGGAATGTCCCTATTTCCCCTGCCAGTGCTGACATCACCAAGCTTGGGGAGGAGGATAAGCCAGTGCTTGTCCCAAGCAATAGCAGTGACTGCAGATGCAAGGGGACATCTCCATGGCTGCTTCCTCCCTTAAGCAGCTCCAGCTGCTGCTGGAGAGCAGGCGAGCAGGAGGAAAGGCTGCCACCACCAAGTCCTAGCCCTTCATGATGTGCCAGCTCTGCGGGGCAGGCAGAAGGCAAGGTCGCCCTGGGCGGGAAGAAAGAGGAAGCAGAGTGGAGTGTGAAGAGTCCTGTTTTTTTCTTTTTCAAGTGCTGTGTGTCCATGTCTCATCTTGCCCCTTTCTAAAATTTATTTATTGGTGTTTGTTTTTCTTTTTGTAGATCTATCAAAGAACCACATAAAATAAAATCAGAATTAAGGGTTTTCTCGGGGTGGTAGATGGTGTGTGTACTGCATCATATTGGTGTAGTGCTGGCCCTTGCTCGTCCTCTGGTAGGAAATGCTGTAGGGTGGGAATGGGGGGGTTGAGGAGGGTCAGTTGGGAGGGGAGTGAGAAATGTCCCTGTTTTCATCTGAAGAAAGTTGGAAGATATAGAATCAGGACATAATGCAGGGGTCAATAACACGACACCCACGGGCAGCAGTGTGCCCGCCAATACAGTGGTACCTTGGGTTACATACGCTTCAGGTTACAGACTCCGCTAACCCAGAAATAGTACCTCGGGTTAAGAACTTTGTTTCAGGATGAGAACAGAAATCGTGCTCCGGCGGCGCGGCAGCAGCAGGAGGCCCCATTAGCTAAAGTGGTGCTTCAGGTTAAGAACAGTTTCAGGTTAAGAACGGACCTCCAGAATGAATTAAATATTTAACCCGAGGTACCACTGTACCTCATTTGGTGGCTGTGGAAGGTCTCAGCAAATACCACCTTAGAAATTTGCAATGAAAGGTTGCTAATTCTTCCTGCTTGTTTGCTCTGCCTCAGCCTTTCTTACATGGAATATGCCCCCTTAAACTTTTCATTGGATGCCAGGACTGGACACACTATCTTTCATTTGCAGAGGAGAGATGCAAAGAAATACTCTTTGGGACAGAGTAGGTGACAAAGGCCATAAAGAAGGCTGATTGCTGATCGCCGAAGAATTGATGCTTTTGAATTATGGTGCTGGAGGAGACTCTTGAGAGTCCCATGGACTGCAAGAAGATCAAACCTCTCCATTCTTAAGGAAATCAGCCCTGAGTGCTCACTGGAAGGACAGATCGAGAAGCTGAGGCTCCAATACTTCTCATGAGAAGAGAAGACTCCCTGGAAAAGACCCTGATGTTGGGAAAGATGGAGGGCACAAGGAGAAGGGGACGACAGAGGATGAGATGGTTGGATAGTGTTCTCGAAGCTACCAGCATGAGTTGGACCAAACTGCGGGAGGCAGTGGAAGACAGGAGTGCCTGGCATGTTCTGGTCCGTCCATGGGGTCACGAAGAGTCGGACACGACTAAACGACTAAACAACACCAACAAGGTGACAAAGGTGATTTTTCTTCATTGATGGAGTGGGGGGGGGAGTGCCTTTACGATTTTGTGGTCCTGACTCTTCTTTCTGTGGCAGCTATTTTGTGTTAAGCCACACCTCTAGTGGTCATGCCCTCAAGCACATTCTCAACATTCCAAATCTGCCCACTGATCCAAAATCGTTGGTAGCCCCCAACATAATCATATTTTCCCTGTTTGCCTTGCATAGTTGTGCTTCATCAGCAGTTAGCCCTTGAATCACTGGGGTTGATCCATAGGATCAGCCAAACCTAAATAATATTGTTAATGTCTTAGGACCCACATACTGTGCCCTCAAACTTTACATTTCTCTTCCCATGATGTTAATTGCCTCCATAAAGTTAATTGCTTTTGCTGTGTATTCTCTTCCCCTCTCCACAAAATACTTATCTCCTTTGAGATGCTGTGTTGATTACTATGCACCAACATAGCAATTACTTGGTTAGGTTGTCAGTCTGTCAATGAGCACAGTAAGTTCATTTCAGAATTGGTTCCTTTCAAGCAACTACCTGGTAATTTTGGTTGTTCTTGAGAACTTGGCCATGGGGCTTCAACTTAAGAGAAGCCACAAGCATTATTAGCATGTACTGTGAAGTGACTTTTATTTGGAACAGGCTGCAAAATACGGCAGTTGCGAAGTATTTAGTACAATATTGCACTCCTTTAGTGCTATTCTGCTTGATTAGGTTGCATTCAGGGCTTCTTATTTATTCATTCATGGAAAATCTGTCATTCACCACAGAGTTCCAGGGTGACACATAATAAACATTAAAATCATACTTCACAATAAAATTTAAAACAAACACAAACCAAACATCATAAATTCCAATAACAATGATAGTTTAAAAATAGGCAGCAGAAAGTGAAATGAAATATCACCGCGTATTCCATACCTTCCTAAAGGCCTGGGCAGAATGCTTACTTTGTCAATGGTGTCACCTGCTATTCCAAAGCTTTGGGACTACCTCAGAGAAAGCCCTCCTCTAGGTTCCTGCACTATGAAGCTCACTCAGCAATGGAGCCATCAATGCAGCTACCTCTGTAGATTTGTTAAAATGAGCAGGTAGGTTGTTTAGGGCTATAACTGAAATCATAAGTACCTTGAAGCAGGGTGGATTGCTACTGTCAGCCAATGCAGATAAATTCAATGTAGTAACTGGTGTTATATGCACGCAGTCAGGATCACCCATTTGTATCCTATCCAGCACATTCTGCAATTGTAACTTCCAGACCATTTTCAAGGCAGCC